TATGACATTACAGTAAGTTTAAATAATAAAGATGATAGTAAAAAAAAGTTTAAAGATGTTGTGCCTATAATTTATTTTATGAAGGTAAATAATTTTTACGTTATATACCAGTTATATGTAGGTAGTTAAATATATACTAGGTACAGTTTATAGTCCTACCTATGGCATAAATTAAAATCCACAAGCCTATAAATTATTAGTATTTTAAATCATCAGTAAACCATAATAATTGTTTCAACTAAATAACAAAAAGATATGTTTGAACTATACTAAAAAATACTCTAAAAATGTCTAACTTTAGACATTGAGCGAGTTTTTAATTTTTACATAAAGGACTGAATAAGGAATATAGGTAACGGTTTTGCTATGACGGTGGTTTTTTTTGTACCAATTTTGGAACAGAAACCTAACCTTAACATTGATAAGGGTTCGTATCTACGAGTACTTACTAATATACAATTTCATTTGGTTCATACCTATATTACTTAACAACAACGACATTTTATAATGTTAGTGCTTTAGTGATAACATACCTATATAAAAACGTTTTTCTAATTTTTTTAAATTTGGATATTTTTTTTCCCCTGAATATTTTCTTTAATAATATTTAGACCGACAACTCACTATAGTCAATATAGTTAATAATAATAAAAACTTAAATATTATGATGTACTAATAAATTTATTATTATAATGAGCCACAGAAGTGGCAATACAATGGTCCATATAACGTGGCTTCAGCAACATTTGGTATGTGGGTGGGTTGATTGGAATTTGGCTGATCAATAATTATTTATAATACAATGAGTCATTATACATAAAATGTAACATAATTATTAATCACCCAACCTGACTCAAAAAAAGTTCAACAYAAAAAATACCTATAAATAGCGCAAAAATAGTTGAAATATTTGTAAAATTATTGCATTTCTAGTACATAATTCCATTTGGTGTAAATTTCAAACCTTCGCAGTTTGATATTCATTTGTATGACATTCGTTGTTAGTTTTTTTTTTGTGTCTAACGAATACTCGTAAACATTGATAGTCGTTTATACTTCATGTAGGTATACATTTTAATTCAGTTGACAATTTGTAGTATTTTTCTTAATGTTTCAGAGAATCTAGCAAATAAAAATAATAATAACTGTTAACAGGAATATGTTATACAAGTTTGTAATTGACAAAGGGTTATTATAGAGTATTTTCTAGACATGTAATAATAAAAATATTTACACTGATTGTATTAATTTTTTTAAATCTAGTTCATTTTAACATTTCAATGATTAGAAATTCGGCCAATTAACTAACGATTTATATATGTATGCAATGTGTTTAGTAATCATTTTTAATTAGTTCAACCTATTAAATTAAGAAAATATCAATAAATAATAATTACCTATATAAATATAATATAACATAAACTATACTTAGAAATTGTTGCTGAGTCATCCGACGCGATCAGTATTATTATTTTTTTAWAGAATGATATATTATTGAACTTGAATTAACCATACCCATTTCAGTGATCTATTCAATAGTCAGGTAAACTATATTCGTAACCTATTGAATAGTAATGCGAGTTCCCTGGTTGATTATTTTATTGATAAAAAAATAATCGAATAAAAGTAAAAACTTAATTGAGGCATTTATTATAGTCATTAATCTGTGAACCTTAGTTAAATAAAATTATTATTCAGCCGATAGCTTTTTCGATGCTGATTTATTTACAAGACACGTCGTAAAATATTATATTATTATGTTGTGTCTACAGCATTATTGAAATAAATTGTATAGATCAACATTTAAAAAGTTGTGATAGGTATTAGATGAAAAATAAAATAAAATATTTAGAAAAAAAAAAAATTACTTTGTATAAATTCGAATCTATAGATAAACTAGTACTAACTTTGGAAACTATAATACAAAGTAATGTTTTTGCTTAAATCGTGATATTAGCTTCACAATTATAATTATTTATAAAGACGATGTAAAATATATTATCATTATTTTATAAATAATTGTCTACAAATTATATTAAAAATATGAGTGATAAAATTATGTAGCCGAGGTCTTTAAAGCATTCAGATCTTCAGGAAGGCAGCAACACTTTGCCAACACACTGAATACAAATCACATAATCAATCGATTCACTGAAACTAATAATCGTATTGGTGTGCAGAAAAAAGTGAAATAAAAATAAAGATGCATGAAGTTATCATAGAATAAATAGGTTAATGGTTATTAATTAATTATATTTAATCTAATTTTTAGAATTATTGCATAAKAAAATATATTATACTTTTATGTTAACTATAAAATTATTGTATAATAAACACGAGACACCCAGAGAATTATCTTGGCGGGGCAGTAGTATCAGTAACTCAATAAAATTGAGGTAAAATAAACATAATATTGTCATAAACTGTAATGATAATAATTTATTTCTTTTTCAATTTTAATTATTTAAATCATGTATCTAATGGAATTATCAGAAAACTAACTAATGTTGTATATAATAATTCGATGAGCATATTTTTTATTTTTTTTATTTTTATTATAAAATAATTATAGCAAGAGTATATTTTTCTTATGTATAATTAATGCTATTAGGTAGTTACTATATCCAAAATAGTGATGCTACTTAAACATACCTAATTGAATAGTTCACAATTGTCACCATTATCAATAAACTTATGACTAATACAAGGGGTGATCCTGAAAATATTAAGGGGAGGGGGGCTTAATTACCCAACAACATAATCCAAAAAATCTCCCACATTTCTAACAAATTTACCAATACAAAATTTTTTATCAGGAACACTACATATTTATTTAGTATAGCTTATTAAAAATATAAAAAAATCTTTATTAAATACTAATAATATTTATTGTGCTATTAATAATATTAAGTAAAACTCTAACATAATAATAAATTAGGTGACTAATTTAATGTAGTATTTAAATTTATTTAAGAGATTGTTAAATAATAAAAATATTAAAAATAAATGTTCAATATTTTCTCTTCAATTTGTAATTTGTCCCGATAATMCACTATTTATCTATAATTATTTGTATTAGTACTTACTACTTAATTAGATATTAGTTCTGAATTTAAAGTTGGATGTACAATATTATTTAATAGTTATTATTGATACAGAATATATTTATTTTGTCTTAAAAAAATATGCACATAATAACTAAAAAAAAAAAATGTTGAAATATTATTTTGAGAAGACTTATATTTATTCTCCCTTTGATCATCATTCATCTTCGATGATGCTGTACATAATTCAATTTCTATAAAAAATAAACAACACTCACGTATTTATATAGTCATCGAAAATGGCAGACTATAAAAAAAAATAAGTCTTAGAAAACTATATTTTTTTAGGGTAAATTGCATGCTTATTGTCAAGGTGTAAACTATATATGAAATTCTGCATGTTGCTCTTAAATTAGCAGGTATAATTAAAACAGAATGACTAATATTTTTCACTTAATAAAATAGAATATTTTTTAAGTTTTTAGTTTCTTCTAATTATGTTTTTTGTATGAATAGCACGCTACCATTYGTGAATCCTTAAGAAAACTCCAAATATCTGGCCAGGTTGGTCGTTTAATAAATTATATATTCAACTAGTGTTGCTTTATGTAGGTATAGTAAATATAAAATCATTTAGATATTTGTTTGTGATTTTTTTCTAAAAATAAAATGTCATGACACTATACAATATCTTCAGTTTCCCCGTAATGTATATTAATATTATGCTCCAAACACTRAACTTTTCTTCTTCTTCTAAAGGCATTTCTACTACCAAACACTGAACTACATACAACAATAAATTACAAATAAAAATAACTAAAAATATTTTTTTGATTGCATTGTCTTAGAATTCTCATATAAAAAAAAGCGGGTTAGTGGGTACCGCTCTGCTGTACATTAGGGGATGGGGTAGAACTCTAACTAGGGTAGGTTAAATTTGAATACAATGATAGGTATCATCTAAGCTCAAAATATTTTGAAAATTAAATCATGTAAAGAAAATGCCAATCTAAATAACTGGTAAAATTTTCATGTATAGACGACTTATACTTTTTGAATAATAACAAATATTTAAAATCGTTTCAGGATAAATCGTTATCGTKACGCTATTTCGTAAAAATTTAAAATTCAAACGCACTTAAAATTTTTCCTATAATGATGCTTC